GATTAATTGTTCTCACTGTCAGGAAATTTCTCCTTAGTTCCAGGTTGGCTCTTCCTCTGATGAGCTTCTGCCTTTTGATTCTTGTCCTGCTCTCCGGTGCTTTGGAAAATAATTGATTCCTTCTTCAACTATTGGAAGATGGCTATGATGTCACTACAAGCCTTCTCTTTCTTAGGCTAAACATATCTTGTTCCATTAACTGTTCAGATTATAGTGCAATTCATTTTCTTATTTGCAATTATAATTCACTTGTTTCTAGAGTGATCCAAGCAGCTAACATTTCAAATAAAATATGAATAGTTAAAACCCTGAAAAAATTAGCAAAATTTATATGTGCTGAAAAATTAAGAATCATTCTAGGTATAATCATCACTGTTACTAAAAGAAATTTCATGTAGACATTTATATTTTGTTAAAAAGATTTCCCAATGCCTCTTATATTCTTTTGTTTCCTAAACATTTATGCAGTAGCTTTTTAACTACACTGAAATTATGTTTGTTTGTATGTGTGTGGCTATTAATGAAAATAAGCTCATAGGCAAATAAATGACCATGCATATTATAAATTAACTATAGTGAGGCATACAATTATTAATCAATGAATTAGGATTAAGGCTTTGGGTACTGAATAGCCTGATAAATTTATAAATATGTGTAAGTGCACATGTATACTATTATTTCCTTATAATATGAAATAATGTACAGTTTAGTATACAAAAGCTAATCTGGGCTAGAAAAAATGATATCTGCAATATATTCTGTAATATATTCTAATTTAATCCACATACAAATCTTTGGTGCTGAATTATCCTATTAGAATAATTTAAAATAAGAAGCAAAAATGAGCATACCATATATAAACATCTGCTTAGTGTGAGATAAAAAAAATCTGAGTAATTCTTATTGTTTTATTATTGTTCTATCAGAAGCAATCATTCCTTGAAACTATATGAAAAAAAGAATTCAGAATGAATTACTTCCTCACAAAATTCATAGTATATTTGTGGTAAACAATCTCCCATGAAATACTAATGGCTAACCATTCATTTAGCAACCATTCAAAGTTACAACTGAACTGAAAATGTGACATACAAACAGTTCTTGCACTTAAAACTATTGCAGCATCCCTATGAACATGTGACCAAAATTCAGGCTCTGGGCACCTGGCGTATATTTTATGATGGCTTCCCAGGGTTGTGTGATTGCCATTTGTGACTGTCTCAGCCAGCTTCCAATAAGCAAAGTCAACAGGGGAAGGCAGATTCCATTCAACAACCACTCATTTAAAATTGCAGTGATTTGCGTAACAATAGTAGCAAAAGAGATTATAAAATTGGGCACAATTCAATTAACAACCTTGCTTAGCAATGGAAATTCTGGTCCCAATTGTGGTTGTAAGTCAAGGACAGCCACACAAAGCCTTTCATGGTTCCAGAATGTTCTCATGTTCACAGCTTAGATTCTGTAGGTTTTGGCAACTTTCTTCCTACTTTTTTTGCTGGAGAAAGTTCCTTCATGGAAAGCAGGACTGGTTAGCATGGGCTAGATATTTTGATCTACCCAGTGGTAGATGTATTTTTTTAATTGAGACTTCTTGAGAAAAAGAGTCCATTTTTAGCATGAAAACTTCCCGCTCCCCACTAGCACCACTTTCCAGTTCAGATGCCAGAGCCATTCCTAGAAAATAAAAATGGTGGAAAGTTATAACCTAGTGTTGGAAAAGTGCATCCCTGCCCAGAGAAAAATCCCTGAAGTGAAAGAGAGCAATGTTCATAGAAAGGTGTTTTGTGAGTGTGCCTATTCTCAAAATTCTAATTTTATCCACTAGCCCCCAATGTTTGTGAACCCTTTACTCTAAAAGCACAACTTTTGAAGTGTAAAGGTACACTTGGCCTCTTCTTTTAGATCGAAAGATGTGCTTCATTTTCCTAGTCTACATTTAGCCCACCTTGATGACTGCTTCTAGGCACTGATTTTTTCCAGGGACTGCCCCTGTCTCTGCAATGCCCAGTGGAAATTCTTGTCTCAGCCTAATGAAGCAGTCTCTCCCCAAAGCAATTTACCCACTTAGCTAGCTGGGATTGGGATAAGCTGTGAGATAGTAGTTGAAATTCCTTCTTTCCAGATAGGTTAACAACAGGCCAAAAAAAAGAAAAGAAAATCCATCCCTGTTTTGATGTTGTCATTTACCTGTCTTGATGTTGCCAAGACTTTCATGTTCTTTTCAAAGCAAAATGATCTCCTGTGGAATAGTTGAAATGAGAATGGAGAGGCTGATTCACCCTGATCTTTGGTACTACCTCTACAGTGTAGATATTTAGTTCATTTAGTTTGGCCATACTCAGCGTGTGGTCCTCAACGGAACTGCATCTACATGGAGGGAAGTGTGTAGTCGGGTGCCCCAGGGCTCTGTTCTGGGCCCAGTGCTCTTCAACATCTTCATCAACGATTTGGACGAGGGGATAGATGGGGAACTCATCAAATAGCCAACACTCCAGAAGACAGGCCTAGGATACAGCAGGATCCGGACAGATTTGAACACTGGGCGCTATCTAGCAAAATGAAATTCAATGGTGAAAAAATTAAGGTTCTACATTTAGGCAAGAAAAAACAAATGTACAGGTATAGTATAGGGGGTACCTTGCTCAATAGTAGTAACTGTGAGAGGGATTTCAAAGTCCTAGTGGACAATCACTTAAATATGAGCTAGCAGTGTGCTGCAGCTGCCAAAAAAGCCAATACAGTGCTAGGCTGCATTAACAGAGGGATAGAATCAAGATCACATGAAATATTAATACCACTTTACAATACCTTGGTAAGGCCACACTTGGAATACTGCATCCAGTTTTGGTCACCACAATGTAAAAAAGATGTTGAGACTCTAGAAAGAGTACAGAGAAGAGCAACAAAGATGATTAGGGGACTGGAGGCTAAAGCATATAAGGAACGGCTGCTGGAATTGGGTATGTCTAGTTTAATGAAGAGAAGGATGAGGGGGAACATGATAGCAGTGTTCCAATATCTTAGGGGCTGCCACAAAGAAGAGGGAGTGAAATTATTTTCCAAAGCGCCTGAGGGCAGGACAAGAAGCAACGGATGTAAACTAATCAAGGAGAGAAGCAACCTAGAACTAAGGAGAAACTTCCTGACAGTTAGAACAATTAACCAGTGGAACAACCTGCCTCCAGAAGCAGTGAATGCTCCAACACTGGAAATTTTTAAGAAGAGATTGGACAGCCATTTGTCCGAAATGGAATGGGGTTTCCTGCCTGAGCAGGGGGTTGGACTAGATGACCTCCAAGGTCCCTTCCAACTTTATTATTATTATTATTATTATTATTATTATTATTATTATTATTATTATTATTATTATTGTTGTTGTTGTTGTTGTTGTTGTTGTTGTTGCTGCTGCTGCTGCTGCTGTTGTTGTTGTTGTTGTTTATGGTGTAGCTAATTCATTCATTTATTCCCATTTTCTTGAACACATGTGGACTCTTGGACCATATATTCTACATGGAGATGCTCTTGAGGACTGCTCAGAAGCTACAATTGGTCCAAAATACAGCTATGCCTTGATATGCCCATGTAAACCTCTGTTTTGTTAGCTGCACTGGTTGCCAATAAGCTTCTTGGTGCAATTTGAAGTACTGGTTATTTGTAAACCTGTGAAGCCTATCTGGCACAGGGCCTTGCCTACTTGAGGAAACATGTGTTTCCCATCCCAAGGGTGTTTTTCCAAAAGACAACTAGACTTCCTTGGTTATTTTCTTTGAAAATGTTTTGATTCTCATCCTAGAAGCATCATTTTGAAGAAACTTCTCGGATGAGAAGCAAAACATTTTCAAGAAAAAAAAATCAAGAAAATCCACTTGTCTTTTTGAAAAGCACCTTTGTGACAACCATGACTGGGATGATTGAGAACCTCCATAGACATGTGTCTCCCATGGTTTCTAACATCCTAATCTGTTCAGACAGAGTCAGGTGCTCTGGAACCCATCCATTAAGTAATATCATGTGATGGGATCTTGGAAGCATGATTTAATTGTTATAGGGCCTGCCCTCAGGAACAGTTTCCCTACAGAGATTCAGATGGTCCCAGTCCCACTCTCCTTCTAATATGCTATCCAGAGTTGCTTGGAGTTCAGCAGCATTCAAATATGCTGCATAGATGTAAATAAATATGCAGTAAATAAATATGCAGTATTATAGTGCCTTTAAGTTGATTTAAATGCACAGCTTTCAGCAATAAAAGGTTCGTGTGGAATTTTACTGCATGGCTGGGGAAGGGGTATTCAGTTCATGGTGCATGTTCTTTGTTTAGGTGTGTAACAATTCTGTGAATAAATCTAGACTAAGATCGTGTAATCTGCATTATCTCTAAAAGATAATGATAATCTGCATTATCTCCTAAGCCAGTACACCACACTGGTTATTTCAGTTATTTTCCTGAGAAGACAGTCGCCATGTATCTAGATATATTGGAGCACTTAGTTTAACAGAGCTTGATAAAAAAAAAATCTATTCAGGATTTTATTCAGTTACAACAGCAAACCATGGATAACTTTAGAGGTTGCTTAACTTAAAACTGTCATGTACCTCTTAGATTGCTCAAAGGTTATTCCCAATAATGTGTTTATTTCTTTAATTTAACTTTAAATGCAATCCTAAGCTTCTACCAAGATCAAGATCCGCCTTCCTCTTTGCAGGCAGAGAGGCTCACAATTGAAACAGCAAGATCTCCTGCTATTGCAAAATCATTCATTTTATTCTACACTCCATTACTAGTAGGATATTACCTACTATCTAATTGTCTGCTGGTAGATAATACCAAATTACTCACTGCTTGTGTAGGTCCATCATTTGACTGCATTTGTCTTCTATTTCCTCTTCAGAATACCAATTTGTTATAACCATTTGCTTTTAGCAAGACACCAATTCCCTTTATTAAACGTTATTGAATATGATCTTTCTGTTCTTCTTTCCTTTCTCCTGCAGCAGCCATGGGCGAATGGGGATTCTTGAGTTCCTTGCTAGATGCAGTGCAGGAGCACTCACCCATGGTTGGACGCTTCTGGCTGGTGGTGATGCTCATCTTCCGTATCCTCATTCTAGCCACAGTGGGCAGTGATGTCTTTGATGATGAGCAGGAAGAGTTTGAGTGCAACACTAAGCAGGTGGGATGCAAACAGATTTGTTATGACTTGGCATTTCCCATTTCCCATTACCGTTTCTGGGTTTTCCACATTGTAGTGCTCTCAGCCCCAGCTGTTCTGTTTGTCATCTATTCTATGCACCAGACTACCAAGATCAACCGTGGCTTGAAGGAAATTGAAGGAAATCAGGAGGAAGCCAATCAGTCAGGGAGGAAAGTTCAGGAACAATTTGAACTCCAGCCCAGTCAACGAACCCGAAATATTCAGACTTTCTACATAGTCAATGTCATAGTAAGAATCTTGGCTGAGATGGGCTTTCTAGTAGGACAGTGGATGTTGTATGGCTTCCAAGTAGGATATCAATACATCTGCAAGCATCGTATGTGTCCTCATCTCATTGATTGCTTTGTATCTCGGCCAACCGAGAAGACCATCTTCATTCAGTTCTATTTCATGGTGGGGCTTGTTTCAGCTTTCCTCAGCCTGGCAGAGCTAGCTCATCTGTTGCTCAAGAAGCGGTGCCGGAGATGTCATGTGATCACTCCTCCTGCTACTACATCATATGAACAGCAGGACAATTGGTCCAATCAGAAACAAGAGAAATCACAGCACTTTCTTGCCCCAGCTGATGGAGGTACCAAAGGGACATCATCTCATGATGTGATTGCTAACCATTATGAATCCAAGGCTCATTATCAGCATAAGAATTCCACCAAGAGCAGCCGATCTTCTCGCTCTTCGGCAAGAGGCGACTTAACAGTATAAGAGCAGAGAATACTTTCTTGTCTCTTTGTTTTGTTCCCTGGATGAGCTGGATTCTTCTAGGGCAGGAATATGAATGGACCTCTATTTTCAGCTGAAGCTGAATAACTTAGATCTAAAATGCAACATTCTGCACTATGGGACTTGGTCATATTTGCGACAATTCATTGTTTACTTTCACATACATATTAAGGGTAGATTGATATGTCTAAAAATGCTTAAATTTACTACCATGTAAAATAGATTGAGAAGGGTCCTAATATTTTAGAATAGAAGGAGTAAAGGAATGAGATTATTTTCCAGTATTCTGGGATTTTCCTAAGTAATTGATCAATTCCCATTTGAAGCTGGAATTTATCTGGCTGTAGAAGAATATATCAATGAAAAAACAAGCAAGGATACCTTTATTTTTAAGTGAATATGCCATGGAATTATAAAATGCCAGGGCAAAGAAAATTCAGGCCAATGGATGTCAGAGATCCTCCCAGTCAGAGGACTATAAATCAGTTAAGGGGTATTAGCCATTGTTCAAAAACAAGATTACTTGGTTTCTACTGAGATATCCACTACTGCTTAATGTGCAAAAGAAAACTGGGTAGATGTGGTGATGGATGCACTCTTATTGTGGTTTATCTTCCAGACAAATAAAAACTGCCCATTGGCACAGAAAGCCTGAGGGACCTTTGCTGAAGAATTTAAATTAAAAAAAATTAAATGTGTGTTTCACATTAAAAAACAATAATCACAGGGAGGGAGGGGGTTATAATATGTTGCAGAGTAAAGCTTCATTTTAATATGATCCCAATTTACCAGGGTGACTTTAAATCCCACCTAGGACTCATGGACTTTCTTTACGTATAAAAGAGGCAAGATGCTGTTTTGCTTAAAAATATCTCACAAGCAAGCCAAGAACAGAAGTCATTCTGTTAGAATTATAAAAGAGAACAACCTGGTCTAATTAAAGGATTGGGTACAGGGATGTTTTATGGTAAGCCCAACGCAATCATACATCCCTCTAGGCAGTTATTTTCTGATTTGATCCATTATATGCTCTCAAGATTTCAAGAATACCTATACCAAGCTTTTCTGCCCATGTGTTCAATGGGAGTTTTTCCTCTCAAAAAAGTATTTAGGATAAATATGTACCCTATAGCTGTCCCATATTTAATTAAAAAAAAAAACTACCAAAGCAGTGTATTGAAATATGGAGTTGCCTTTCAGTTGTTGAATCATAAAGAGACCTTTGAATGCTGTTTATTGGGGCAGAGGCAATCCAACTACATGTAACCTTCATTTAATTACCATTCACACTTAATGATGGTGATGAAAAAATAACTCACATTTGAGACCTTTGGCAAAAGAAAGCTGAAGTAAGATCAAACTCCATTGCACTTTCACTTAAATGACCGATTTGCTTAACAACTGAGTTAGCACTCCCAATTGTGGTTACTAAACAAGGACTATCTATACATATTATGGGCACCAAATCTTTGATAGCTAGTTCTGAGAAAAGATAGCATGCCTGCATTTTATTTTGTTCCCTAGCTGTCACACAGCTCCAGAGCTAACTTAGATAGAACAGATAGCGAGGGATCCATCAACAGCAAGTTGTTATTGTTTTTTTTGCTTGACTTATATCATAATCCCAACCCTAGAAAGACCCACCTTGGGAACTGTTGAGATCATGGAGGGGGGGGGCTCAGTAGTGGATTGTCCCTCCACCTTACATCAAAGGTATTGCTCTGATCTCATTGAAGAAACTAATAAGTTTCATCATAAAACTTAAGGCTTCTGTGAGTAATGTAGTCATTTTAATAGCAACCTATTACACTGTGTACTTAAATCAATTGTTCAAAATATTTTAACTATACCATTATGCCATTTATTATGTCCTACATTTGGGTAAGAAAAATGAAAGCATTGGGGCCTTTGCAGATTTGCTTCTGCTCTCACGACAAATGCTCATTGGGAATGCACACCGATATCGCAATTACAGGAAATGGTTTTTTTAAAGAAATAAAGAGCCAGAAACATTGTACCTATGGAACCGGAGAAAGATGCTAGAGAAAGAGCGGGAAGTGAAAAATAGATTGGATCAGTCTATATGGAGAAGTCACAAAAGCTTCTGTTTCTACCTCCTTGTACTTTCTTTCCACATGGTCCAATTTTTTGTCCCAAAAGTCTCAGTGGGAATATTTTCATCTGCTTTTAAAAAGAAGTGCAGTTTGAACCATATACATAAGGTGTCTACAACCAAAGGCGGCATTCTCCAGATGTCTGTATGATATGTAATATTTTTGAGACGACAACATCTTCAGGTCAAATAACTTGATAACTTCATAACCAAATCCATGCAGTGGTAACCAGAGATAGTTTGCCATTTTTTTCCCATGATGCTAACTCAAGCTGAACTAAATTCCTGAGGCCAACAAAATTTAAGTGCCATAACGTTTGTTATTTTTTACTTTTTCATTCTGGAGTATATCATATTTTTTAGTCAATGATCGGTTTATGGGAATCTGATGGATACAATGTTAAGCGTTCAACAAAATCTTGTACAATATCCTAGAGAAGAAAAAAAGGCAAAATGTGGGCTTGATTAAATTACCATTCTATGGATAGACAATTGGTAAAGCATTCATGTGCCTTTCATACACCAATGTCAAATTGGAAGGAAACTTCAAATGGTGTACTGCAGGGCTCCATTCTACAGCCAATGTTGTTCAATTTACTTATAAATGTTTGGATGATGAGCTACAAAATACAATTCTGACATTTGCAAATGATAGAAAGATGAGCGATAACAAATACCTCATGGATGACAGCTTGAAGCTTTAGGAGAACGTTGGCATACTGGAACAATAGGTAGAAATCCACAAGATGAATTTTGATCAGGTCTAATGCAAAATTCTGCATTTGAATAGGAAAAATGAAAGACACAAGGAAAGAGTAAGAATCACATTGAGCAATACGTGTGAAAAGGATTTGGATGTCTCGGTGACTCACAAGTTGGATGTGAGGCAAAAATTTGATGCAGCTGAAAAAATTGCAAATGAAATTCTAGATTACATCAATTAGAAGTATAGCGTCAAGATCAAGAAGAATCACCATTCTCCTATCTTTCTTCTCTATTATGTGTTGGTCATACCATGTCAAGAATACTATCTCCTATTCTGGACACATTTTAGGAAGAACTGATAAACTGGAGCACACCCAAATAGCAGCAATCCAAATAACAAGGGACAGAAGAAAAACTTAATGAGGAACACTTGGAGGTACAGGACGTGTTTAGCCTGGGAGAATTAATGGCTACCCTGACCTACCACAAGGGCTCTCATTCTAGAAGACAGGGTGGAATAGTTCAATACAGGATTTAAAAAAACAATGGATTTAAATGACAATAATTTTGGGTATAACACTGGGGAAAAAACATTTCTAATCCTAAGAGCTGGAACGGATTGCCTTTGAGATGTGGTGGGCACCCTTTCACTGGAAACATTTAAACAAACTTTGGATGGCCATTTGGCAAGGATGTTTTACTGGTGGCTTTCTGCCTTGGGCAGAGGTTGGACAAGATGATCTCCAAGGTCCTTCTGACCTTTATATACTATGTATCCATATGTATACATAGACATACATAAATAGTGTACATAACAGTTGACCCATGGAGTAGAAGTAGTTGTTTCCTTTTCCTCTCTCTAACCTATTAATATCAAAATATTAAACTTGGAATATTTCATTAAAAGAAGTTCATTTATATATATTTTAAATGTTCTGCACTGGTTTTTTTCTAAATTGTTTTGTTCATCATGCAATGAGCAACTCAGGGAGGTGATTTTGGACATGGTCGTGTAAATATGCTAAACCAAAATTGTCAGCCCTTCCAAAAATATATATTTATCCAACACTATTTTTAATATTTCCAGTGGCAATTGTTCCTCTTCTCTTCCCTTGGGACATTATTTCCTTGGCCAATTGTTTTTAGATTAAAAGCAGTTTTTTCTCTCTACTGTATTAACTCTTGTGTAGCATTCAGTAAGATGAGGGTTAATAACTTCAGTCTTTATGCATTAAAGCTAATTCACCTAGTGGATTACAATTCCGAAAGCATATCTTTGTGCTAGAGACAATTTAGTACCTAATCTATTTATGGATGGAGAAGGAATTACACTGCCAAACAGGCATCTTTTCAAACCACAACTGTTGCAGGCTCCAGAATCTCACCCTCTCAAAGCTGTCCAGAAAATGTCTTTTGAACTTCGAACAACAGAGAATAAAAAGATGATTGTAGACTTATTTTTAACCTTATCCTATTTGCTTCATGCCTTCCCTCTTCAACAGAAAAGAGTGAAGAAAGCTGCTGCTCCTAGTTCTGGCCCAATAAGTTCAATTGTTTAGGCACATTGTAATTCACAACTCTCTATATCACTTTTCAAAAATTCATCAAGGAAATAAATGTATTGTTATTATTGTTGTTATGGTTAATCTTCAATTTGAGTCATAGTCTAGGACTGGTAAAGTCTTATCCAAGAACCTAAGAGCTGTTAAGATACCGTCTGAGTATATAGGCAGCTCTGAGTAGGGTGGTTTTTTGTAAAGTCAGGATATTCAGGTCTAATAAGTTCAAAATCTCTATGTATCTAGGCAGCCTTTGGGTATTGCTCTAAGGGCTCCTATTACTATTGGTACAACCATTGATTTCTTCCTCCACAGTCACTCAAGCGCTCTCTCTCTCTCTCTCTCTCTCTCTCTCTCTCTATATATATATATATATATATATATATATATATATATATATATATATATATATATAAATTTTTTTTTTTTTTTTTT